CACACACACACACACACACACACACACACACACACACACACACACACGAAAGCAAACAAACAAGAGAACAAAAACGGGTGCCGGCCGTTGCATCTGGCGATCAGCCGCACAAATGCTGCCAGCGTTGCACTCTTTGTACACTGATTTACCCTTAAAGTTTACTGACATAGGATCGATTAGCGGGGGCATCTAGGGTATACTCACGGGGCCTGTAGAGGGGAAGGAGGGGGGAAGAAAAGAAAAAAAGCTATCATGATGTTCGGTGATCAACACACGGATACGGACATGCGCAGGTCGCCACACACACATGCACATTGCACACTTCTTGGTGAGGAGTGAAGACTCCTACCGAATGTCGGTTCGCTGAGAAAGGCGCCTACACCTTGTAGGATTCCACGTGTACTGAACTTGACGACCTTGCTGTTTGCTGACGCATCTCTCACTCCAGGGGTATGGGGCGGTGATGATTACCTCTGCAGCTCTGCCTACCCCACAGCCATGGAAGAAGAAGGACAGTTCAACCTTATTGTCCTTTCATGATCTGATCGGACAGAGGACAGAGTACAATGTACAAGACCTGTTCCTCAGACGAATCAGGTCAGGCGTCAGACTAGAGAATCAAGCATCGGTGGAAAGTGCTCTCCCGGACCGGGCATATACTCACACTAGGACTTTCTCGACAAAGCTCTGGACGTGATTGCAATCAGATTCATCCAGGTGTGGCTGAAATTGCAGCCAGATGCGTTGTGAAGTGAGTACTATGCCCTCAGATGAGAAGCAATCGAATGAACTTGGGAAGTTAATGAGAAAAGTCGAAGAGAACAAGGCTTAAGGCCATCACCGCCATGCCCACAAATAGGCAGGGGCTCACGTACTTGTCCTCCGGATCGTACTTCCTTGCTGCCGGAAGAAGCTCCACCAAGACTATGGTGATCATAACTCCTGCTATACCTCCAAACAGAATACCAAAGGCAACGTCACTCATCACATTAGCGAGGGCAACATACGCGAGCAGTCCGCCGAAGGGCTCTGCCATCGCCGACAAGATGGTCCAGAGGAAGGCCTTCTTCTTGCTGCCTGTGGCATAGAACACTGGCATGGAAACACAGATCCCTTCGGGGATGTTGTGCAAAGCGATGGCCAGGCACATGGACCCTCCGAGCTTCGCGTCCTTCACCGACGAGACAAAGGTAGCAACCCCCTCGGGAAAATTATGCACCCCGATAACCACAGCCGTAAGCAGCCCAGTCCGCAGAAGCCGAGCCGTCCCCTGCTTGTCAATGACGGCTGCAGGGGCAGCAGCGTTGGCAGCAGAAGCAAAACCATCGCCGGCATCAGCATCCACGCAGCCCGGCTCCGTTCCTGTGACCCCCTCCTCATGCTCAGCGCTCCCCGCATCGGTCTTTTCCTCCACGTAGAGGACTCTGCATGGAGAGTCGAAACGCAGCGCACTTTGCCCTGGACTCCTGATCGACTGAGGCAAGTTCAGCCCCGTCCTTGTCCCTGCTGCTGCTGCTACTGCTGCTGCTGCTGCTGTCACTCGCCCTCTCTCCGGCTCTGCATCCGCTGGTTCTGCCTCTGAGCTCCTTGGTGCTAACACTGCAGCTACGCCTGACCTTTGGATCTCGTTCTCACAGGACACACCGGCCACGACGATGGTAGTCTTCTTATCGTCGGGCAGCATCCAGGACGGCAGACTTCCCCCGTGCCCATGAGCGGCTGACAGAGGAGGCACTGATCCCGGGCGCTTCTCCCCCTCCATCATGCAATTGGCCAGACCGTGAAGGGCCCCATCGATCACGTGAAGCAAAAGAACGCCGCCAAAGAAAGATAGCAAGGCGTACAGCTTTGCGTACTTCTCCTCCAACCCTCCGTCCATAAACGACTTGACGGCCGTGAGAGCCAGCAGGTCGTAGAACGAAATGAGCAGCATCACACCGGCCGCCAGCCCCAGCGACACTGCCAAGACTGCACGATTAGCCAAAGAGGCAAAGAACACGACGCCCGCTCCTAAGACTGTGGCCAATCCAGCCAAGGTTGTTAGCAAGAAGGCTATGGCCACCTCACCCCTGGCGACGGCCATGGTCGTTCCTCGAACTTCCTCTGGATCACCCGCGGAGACCCCCAAACTTCGCCGTCGGTACTGGACAGAGCACTGAGAGCAGAGACTCGGAGAGAGCAAACGACCGTGACGATGATCAGACGGGATCCGGTAAGACGGCGACGAGGACAGTGCTAAGCAACTGCCAGAAGAAAGAAGTAGGTAGTATAGTGCAAGATGGACCTGTCTATCACGTAGTGGCAGTACTGCGACTCCTTCCTCTTAACCACCCCTCCCCCTAAGCTCCTCTCTCTCTCTCTCTCTCTCTCTCTCTCTCTCTCTCTCTCTCTCTCTCTCTCTCTCTCTCTCTCTCTCTCTCGCGTATATCTTTTGGCTAATGTTGCTACTCGGCTAGCTCATGCAATGACTGTCGGGGAGAGTGTATATATATGGGATCGCGAATTGGCGCTTGAACAAGCCCGCTCACCCCACCCCAGGCAGACGCCGACGAAGACGTATCCTTGCCTCCCTCCATATTCTCTTACTCTCTCTCTCTCTCTCTCTCTCTCTCTCTCTCTCTCTCTCTCTCTCTCTCTCTCTCTCTC